CTACTAGTAGTACTAGTGCTACTAGTAGTAGTAGTAGTAGTAGTAGAAGCAGTTGTGGAAGCAGCCGCAAGGAATACTGCTACGACGACAACGGCGACTACTGCTACCAAAACCACCAAAACCACAAGCTCCAGCACCACCAGCACCAACACCACTACTACTTCTACTGGGACCACGACTACGGCTACGACGACGACTACTCCTGCTACTCCCGCTCCTGCTTCCAGTCCTGCTGCTTCGATCGCTACTACGATCACCGGCGGATTGATGACGAAGGCTATGGAGACGAAGGAAACGATGATGAAAGCAACGGTGATGGTGACGGTGGCTGTGCCGGTTGTGATTATGATGATGAAGATAGATGGTAGATGAGACATGAAGATGAGGCTTGCTGCTGCTACTGTAATGCCTTCTACTAACACGCCTTTCTCTCCAGCAACGCGTGCTGATTCTGATGTCAGCGCTTTGCCCCATTTGCCACTGGCCTGTCTTGCATCAGCTGACACTCCATACTAAGGAATGAAGATGATGGGGAAGCGTCACTTCCCCAGACATTTCATACCAGTAGCAGTAGCCGTGCTACTCAGTAGCATGTAGCCGGCCGGAGCGCAGGGGGACATCCTGGTTGAAGCAGGATTAAATCGAAAGGCTGCACTGCTTTTCTTTCTTTTGCTCCTTCATCGCTTCCAAGCCTTCCTAAAACCAAAGGCACCTGTTCCGGGACTGAGGCGTGAACTTTGCCGCTCGGTCCGTCATATCGCCCGACCCGAACATCGAGCCTTCAGAGTGCAAGCCTGAGTATACTCAGGGCTTATCGTGGCTTTGGGCCTTGTCGGCTTCCAGCAGACGCGACCAAAGAAGACGAAGGCATCATGTTTGCTTCCAAAGAGCTGTCAAAGCCTGAACACCCCGGCCAGGATCGGTGTGCCAGTCGAGATTGCTTCGAACCTCTACTACCCAGAGGTCGAACGAGATCAGATCAGGGTTGAGTGAATTCAGAGGAGAAGGGAAGGGGCCGGACTTGAAGTAGGGGGGTGCCTGTCGTTGGAGACATCGCCAAAGATGGGAGTGGGCTCGCATTAAGAAGAAGTGGCTGTGTCTTTGCCTGCTTGCCATCGCGTACGAGAGGAAGTGCGAGGGTCTTGGGATACGGGGCTCACCTATGAACAGCATAAGACCCCAATGCAGTCCAAGGGTAGGGTTCAGTCCTTCTTAGCATAATTACAAACAGTATTACCAAAAGAATTTCCTAATAGCTCTCTCTCTCTCTCTATATATATATATATATATATAGATAGATATACCAGACATACCAAAACAACCCAAGATCCAATGATCGAGACCCCAGTAGAATAAGGTTTAGTTGCACTGAAGCAGAAACCCACAAGGCCTAGGGCCTGACCGTTTTCTGCTTGTTACTTGCGGGCACCGCCCTTCGTCATCCTAGCTGCCGCAAGAGCTCCGGGTTCCGAAGTGTTGTTGTTTTGTAGGGGAGGGTGGAGAGGGGTTGCTAAAATGGTGAGGTATTTAGTTTGAAGTGTTGGGCTTCTGCTACTTGGGCTGAAGGCAAGCATGGCACAATGTGGTGACCCGTCTGGTTGTTGTTCAGGAGGTGACATCATGAAGCTGGGACGAGGGTATCTCGCTTTGCTTTCGCTTGGCGAGGTTGTCACCCCGTTCAATGTCGAGTGGCTGCGCAGCCTAGTACTGCGTGGCAACGTATATCCAGGAGCCTTCGAGGCCAGGCTCGTACTCAATACCCTAAACCCTAAACCCTAAACCCCTAAACCCTAAACCCTAATAATTACTTATATCATCTTGGGGGTTCCTTATTATTACTATTATTATAGTATAGTGGGGCTCAAGTCTGTTATGGCCCATGACAGTATGATAGTATCATTATGGTCTATTGAAATGTAGTCGATTATGGCCTATTGTGGCATATTCTGCTAGATTCTAAAGAGCACTGTATGTGAACTGTGGAACCCAGCCGTCTGTTTGCAGGTACACATACCCAAGGGCGATGGCAGCAAGATCATTCAGAGCTTGCAGAACAAATCGGAGGCCGCGCACATGCATTGGCGATGAACAAGCGCTTCTACCGGTACTTCTTGAAGTACATGGGTAGTTCTCTAAATTTGGGTCCCTTTTGGGGTCCCCATTATAGTACGGCTCCCTTATAAAAAGGACCCCAAAATTAAGAGAACTACTCACATAATTACTGTAAAAGCTGTCATGTGCATCTGCCGCAGATTTCGGTAGGTCGGACATGACTTTGGACACGAGCACGTGAGGGAAGCGTCAGAAGCGCTAAGGGTATATGTAGGCCTGACAACAGCGGGCCGGCGCTCCTTTTTCTGCGCTACGCAAAGTAACGCCGAGTATCCGGAGGTCCGACAGCCGTATCACCTAGAGAAGTCTCTCAGAGCTCGCCTTTGTCAATATATATATATATATATGTATGTAAATATATATATATATATATCCAAAGACCGGCTTGTCCTGGTTGTGGAGGAAGACAGGAAATCCCTTGCCAAGCAGCTTCTCTCGGAACTCAAGCCGGAGCCTTTGCTCAGTTCTCCACAGGGTCGGTGGGAGTCGCACAGGCTCCAGGACTCTGGCATTTAAGGGGTTTCCAAGAATAGGGGACCCCAAGATGGTACCCTAAACAATAGGATCCTTATTCTAAGGACCTCAAAAATAAGGTACCCCTAATTCTCGGAAACTCCCATTTCGGACCCAACCAAACCTTCAGTGTGATCATCAGAGGTTTCTTCGAGGTTGAGTCCACATGCACAGCTCGCGCGACCTGCACAAAGGTCGGGCAAGCCGCCTTATACGGTGTTCCGCCACTTGATGGATGGTCCAACGCTGAGCTCAAGTCGTCACCATCACAGACTAAACGACTTCGGGAAGTGGCTGCCTCCTACTGTTAACCCTCATTTTCTAAGAAATAAGCTCTGCGGCCTCCAAATCGTGGGGAGGCCAGTACCCCTGCGACACTCTCCGGACTGGGCCGCATTGTGGCACCAGCGAAAAAGCCCTAGATGCGCCTCAAAGCCCAGGAGACCCACTCCTCGTCAATCGCCAGCCAACTTTGCACAAGTCCTCGGCTCACGGGGATGCACAGCAGAACTTGCAGTTTTTCAGAGTGTCACGGGATGTCACGGGTTTTTAAGGTGTAGGGCTTTGGAGCAAAATCTCACATGGGCGCTGCCTTGTCTTCGTTCAGAAGTTCAGTTTTGGCTGAGGCCTGGCATCATGGCCCACACTGCCAAGGCTTGGCCGTTGTGTTCTTGAAGTGCTACGACTTACTTATTGCTGGAAGGATCACAGGTTACGTACGAGGGCCTCCCAGATTTATCGTAACAGTAACGGAAAGGCCTCTTGGATTCTGAAAAACGGGTGCCACCCTTGTTGCAATTAAGCTGAATCGCGGCTTTCTTGAGCAGGTCTTGAAGAGGGAAGCGACCATCCGTCTTCACTACGCGCTGGACCTAACTTTCAGACAGATTCGTGCAGGAATGCGGCCTTGAGCTAAAAGGTTTCATGGGCCCAGCCGACTGGATGGTACTTGTATCAAGCATGTGCCAGCGCAAACCGTGAGCCGGCACTCAAGCGCTGCCTGATTCATGGCCGGGCCGGAGGTAAACTGCAATACTTACAATGCGGACTTCGATGGAGATGAGATGAACTTGCATGCACCACAGGACATCACGGCACAACCGGTAAGAGCTGGGTGCACATGATAGGACAGTCAAAACCTCCTTGAGGACCCCATCAGCCGGATGGAAGCTTTGGCCATTGCGAAAGCGGACCAGCAGTGCGCGGAGAAGCTTCGAAGAAGCTGCCTCTTAAGTTTTGAGTTTTGAATGGGGCAAGAGCAGACCTGTACCATGCACAGCTACGAGGTACTTGGTACCAACCTCCGGAAAGCCTTTGCGGGGCCTGATTCAGGCTGGCATGAATGCTGCGTCTGGGGACTGTGGGCTGCGGAAGGGCTGCTGCCAAGCCGTCGGCATGTAGTCCTGCTTGGCCACTATAGGACGTAATTCAGAGCAACAAAGGCGGGTCTTGACTGGATGCTACATGCTGCATGTTGAATGCCGCATTTGGGGGCCTCGAGGCCGTCAGTTTGAGAACGGGCTCTTCCTCCAATTTGCATCTTTGAGCCAGGACCATGTCATCGCGGGCACGATGCTGACCAAGAGAGACAGCCTCTTGAATTGAAGGGCTAAGCCTAGAGAGTGGTGCAGGATGTGCGGTGTCATGCACGCTGCAATAGGTCACTCTAGGTCGAGGTGATGCGAAGCTAAATTAGGGCTTGATGTTCCCTTGCCCTACAGCCTCCCATGGATCATGCCAAAGGCCTCTCCCCGAGCTTTTCCTGGACCATATAAGCTACCTGAGGCTTTTACACCAAGACGGAGGCGCTCTTTCGAGTGAACCTTCTCATGGTGTGTCTTGGTGCAGGGGTGTGCGTCCGTAGCCAGTCATGATCTAGTATAGTGATAGCATCAGTAAGTCTTCTCATTCGTTGATATGAAGGCAGCTTCATGCCATGACTATGCTATTTCCATCACGGCTTTGGATACTTCGAGCAAAGTTTCAGGCATCCCGTGCTCCAGTTCCAGCTCAGCTTCTGTGGATTCGGGGTCCATGGACCGGGGATCCGAGCGCGGAATACGTCAGACGTGCGTCGCTGCCAGGTCTGTTTGCTTCTCTACGCTGGCCTCAGGCATGCGCAGAGCCCTCAGAACGAAAGAACCGTGTTCCATTCTAGCGCTCAGAATGTCCTACTCTGTCATGTCAGCGGCCTCTCTAACCCACCCCACACCATGTGCTTTGACCCCAACACCCGAAAAAAAAAAAAAACTGATCCCTGAACCCAATTTGTTCAGGCTCGAGGCCTCATCCAAGCCAACAGCCATGTCATTTCTGCTCGGCCCCCGGATGTTGCAGGGAACTAGTTGAATTGCTTGGGGGAGCGTAGAACTGCGAGACAGACTGCAGCTCAGCATTTGCAGTTCATGAAGCTGCTGTCGTCACTCAGGACCCTGCGCCCCAAGGCACAGCAAGCATCGCATGAGTTCTTGGGGTAAGTTCGCGACCATCCTAGTCTGGAGCTTCATGCAATGCTGCAAGCACGGCCCCCTCATGGGGTTTCCTGCTGCAGGCCCGCAAAACGCAGGCCGCCCCAGAGGACCGGAGCCTCCACGTCGTCTCCCATTAGCGATATCTCCTTCCAATAACTTGCAAATGGAGTACATGAGTCCCTGGATTGCTTGTAGCTACTGTCCATTGGTCCACACCCATCTGACAGCGATGCCGACTCTGCCACCCCCACTGGCTCTGTGGGTGCCCGAAAACATGACCTAAGAAGTTCACAAGTGCAAGTATCAACCGCAACGGCAGGCGAGAACACAAGTGCACAAGTGCTATCTCTGATTTGTGCAACTGTCCATGTGATGCCGTGATGTGAAGTTCTCTCATAGTGCCTGTCTGCATGCCATACATGGGCTGGGCCCCGTATGAATCCTCTGACTGGCCTCTGCAACATTCTGCAACGGTCCTGATCGCTAGCGCCCATAAGGAACCCCTTACCATTCAGCAAGACCTGGCTTGAAAAAGAACGGCAACACACAGCCCAGGCTTGTGAGGTTGAATCAAGGAATTCGAATCCGGCTTCGCATGCGTCTGCTGATGATAATTTGGGAATCCTGAGCTTCTGTTGCCCAGAGGTGCAGAAACCCCGAAATCTGTAGCCATCCACATCTCCGGCAGGAGAGTGTGCAGGACGCCGCAAAGAAGTTCAAGGCCAGGACACAGGGAGAGCTTGTAGATTCCGGCCCGCTCCCGCCGTCCGCTGGGGAGGCCGAATTCAGTGTAAAATCCAACTTTGCGGGCCTCCTGCTTGGTGAATCGAACTCCCACCAGAGTGCCTTCAGATTCTCGAGTACTTTGGTGTGGGAACCTTCCCTCAACCCTAAACCCTAAACTCTTCGACTCATAGAAGCTTCGAAGACGTCGCATCAGGGACACACGAATTCGGCTCCTCGCGGTTTCGTATACGTATTATCGAGATCGCTCCGTCGTAAGAAGCTTAGATGGTTTATATGATTTGGGGTGCGACTTCTCTCCGAGCACTTGCACTTCCACCTCCCCGAAATCATGAGTCTGGTCGCCACAGTCTCGTGCATGTCTGCAAGTTGAAGTCATGCTTCCACCACAGTGCAGTAGGCATTCTGGGCCCGGGGAGTGTGCTCCTGCAATGGCTGTTGGATACATGTAGGGACCTACAATACCGGGTTTGGTCTGCAAGGTGCCCCGTCTCTTGGGTTATCTTGGGATTTGCGCTGCATATCTCTGCATATTATTCCCGGTGTACAGGGTCTTCGAAATCGTGGTCACGAGGATCGGCCGTGGCTGAGCCCGAGTGTGCAGATGAACGTGCAGTCCTCGGCCCTGCTGTGTCTGGCTTCTTCTCAAGGAATTTGGAGACGAAGCTACCCGAGTCGGGATCCATAGTCACCGGTGCCGAGTTTTCGATATGGTGATCGAAGTTGAGTTCATTCACAAAATCCCAGCCCACTCCAGACGCGCAGTGCCGAAGTGGAAGCAAGGATGCCGCCACAGGATGTGAGAAACCCTGCAATCGGTTCGCAATCAACCTGCGGAGAGAAGTCAGGCCCAGAAGTTTAAGGTGGAGCTGGACCCGCCTGCTGTGCCAGGGTCTCAGTAACCTTTGAGTCTGCAAGAAACAGCCAATCTGACCCTAAACCCCAAATTCCGGCCGGCTACCACTGTAGGAAGATGCCCGATTTGAGGCTTCGTCCCCGGCCGCTTTGGTCCGGAAAGCAGGCACGGCCCCCTTGTCAATGTGAACTCAGACGCCTTTGCAAAGAAACGAGGTCTTGAGCATGCTGCTGAAGCATCTCATCAAGGTCTGCTCCGAAGGGAAGGACTCCACCGCAGGGGAGGGTTGCTGTGGTCATATCTCCCCCGAGAAATGACCGATGCTGAAATTGAAAAGCCCATCTGCACATACAAAGTCTTACTCCGAAAGTCGCCGTGCTCCGGCTCAGGAGGCAGATACATCCAAGGGGGTCAACTTGGACGGGAAGAGCAAGACGCAGGGCCCTCTTTTGCCGGTTTTGCCCCAAGCATCAAAGCAGTTTGTGGTCGGCCCTGCTCAGGCCCGGTGATATCTGGAATGGAAGGTTAGACGGGGACAAGGAGGAGGCTCGATCAGATACTTCCAATGTAATGTGGAAAATTCCCGCGCGACTGAAGCCTGCTCAAAGCAGAACCTTCGACACAGTCGTGAATGTACGGCACCTTGCAAACCCCACCCCATCCCAACCCTACCTGCATCCGGTTACAGGCCACAGTGACTTTTCGCGGATCCGATCTCCTGCAGGGAGTCGGGGAACTTGGATTGGCAAGCACGTGAATTTGCTCCCGACCATGTAGGGCGAGGGTGGCGGGTGCAAAGCAGTCCAATGTGTTGTTGACTATTCCATGTTCCTGGTTCGGGTAGCTTTGTGAAGCGCCTTTGGCGCTTGTGGCTGAATGCATGCATGCATTCCTATTCGCCCGCAGGCAGTGAGATATGATACATCGGCGAGTTGCAGAAATGAGGTTGATTTATGTTGATCCATGCTTGTGCTTTCGCACGGGTATACGAACGAATGCGTCTGTCAGGTGAATGTATACCGAGTCGAGATAGTCCTATGTGCCATCATTTCGGATCCAGTCCGATGTAGAGCCGCGGCGTGTGCGGCATGATGTTGCGCCTATGCGGCTACACATGTGTCGGCATGCGTCTGCTTGCAACTCACTGTATGTATGTTTATATACATACAATATATATATATATATACATATAATATATATACATATAATATATATATATATATATACATACACATACACGTAGTTCTATGTTTATACGAATGGCAGGACCCCCTATAGAAAAGCTTCACGTCCTCTCTCAGGTCCTGGACAAGGCATCTTTCGGCCGGGGCTCTCAGACAAAACTCATGAAGAGGGCCTTCTCTGACATGGTTTAGGGTTTAGGGTTTAGGGTTTAGGGTTTAGGTTTCCAAAGTATATTACTCGTACAACAAGAAACGGATTAGATATAGATATACTGTACTTGGATATAGTACGTAAAGTATATAATCTGCTTACCCAGGTGCCGAGACGGCCGGAATCACGCCTACCTGGCTGAATTCGGAACGAGGGATGGCCCTAAATGACATAAAAAAATGTATGCAGGGGGAAATGCCTTCGTTGCCTTGCGTGGTGAGCGCATCAGGAAGGGTTTGAACAGCTGGCCAGAGTGTTCATGGCCAGCGGAACAACGCCCCTTATGGTACGATTCATAGGAATCTCCTCTGCAGTGGCAGGCACATGTGCTTCGAGCTCATGGGTGGCCGACTTGTCAGTACCCCTGCCGTGTATTCGCAGAGGACCCCCTTTTGAGGCTCCTGGCAGTAGAATACGCCTATGATTGCAGGTTTTAGGGTCTAGGATCGAGTCGCGGGTTGCGGGTGGGGGGGTGTCTAAGGGTTTTTCAAATGGGGTTGGGGCTGAGGGTTGGGGAGCAGAGTGAAGCTTCCAGCATGCACTCGTTTGCAAAAAAGCTTCAGTTTTCTCGGCTTGTGGAGTCTATCAGCGACAGCTTTCCTTGATCTCGGGAGTTTCCGGATTCGAGCCTAGAAGCTGTATTATCTCAAGAGAACCCTAAACCCCTAAACCCTAAACCCTAAACCCACTCCCACGATTGCATGGTGTCCATCGAACTCCTCTGCACTGCCAGGTCTCTGGCTTTCCGGGATCGCCAGGCCCAGAGCTGGGAGATGAACCTGGCGGCGATCGGTTTAGGGTATAGGATACAGGGTACAGGGTGTAGGGTATAGGGTACAGGGTTTAGTTTTTAAGGTAACCCTAAACCTTAAGACCTACACCCTAAACCGAGAACCTAAACCCAAGACCTGTGAGGCTTTTCACTCTGCTGTTGCAGATGCGGGGCTTCACGTGCGCCTACGAAGACCTGGTCCTCAGTCGGGTTCTCAGAGCTGTCGGTGAGTTAGTCAGTTACAAACAAGCCAAAGGCAGATGATTTCATTTGAGTGAGTTTCGTGCTTAATTACGAGCGAAAAGAAATTAGTAATTAGAGAGCCATATAGCAGTCTGCCACATTCTGTACTCGCTAGGACCGGAAATCGACGAGAAGAGGACCGGAAAGTCAAGCTCTGGCTGCTATTCGCCTGGTGCACAAAGCTATTTGCTTGGTTCGCAGTCTCGCGAGAGAGCACGCGATGGGAGATTTCGACTGGGTGTCCAATGCGTCGGTTTGCAGAGGACGGAGCTGGTCAAGGGAGCGCTCGGTGCTTGGAGTGCTCAAAGCTTGCAGGTAAAGCAACAGTCAGCAGCTTTCAAGGCGGTTGGCCGCAAAGGAGGTGGCTGAACAGTGGCAAGCCTGACAAGTCTTGAAAGTTACCGTCCATCAGCACGGCAACCAGCTGCATTTTGAATAGCAGCACACGCAAGCAGCCATTCACCCAGGCACCGAACCGTCCTCATTCGGTATGAAGCAGCGCCGTTTGACGATCCAGTATAGAATCACAGTGCCATGATGGACGTTTGTTCTAAGAAATTGCCAGGATCCACAAGCATGGTGCAGGCGAAGAGCTGCGCTGCGCCTAGCGAGACTTGAAAGATGAGAGTGTGAGTTTGTCACTCTATATATATGTATATATATATATATATTTATGTATCAATGTGTACACAGCTTATACACATATATATATATATATATTCACATTTACGTCCGAACATGCATACAGTAGAGCGGAGGCGTAGAAAGCCCGTCTTTTGCAGAACACTGCGGTGCTGTCCGGCGAGTGCCAATGCCTTCGCAAGGGCAGCGAACCCCACGCCAAGCGCACTTTCAAAGGCATCCAAGCATCTGCCCGGACCCCAGCAAGGTACTTTTCTGTCTGTGCACACTGCGCAAGTACACGGGTTGTTCTGATTCTGAATACATTCCCGCTTCAGGCTCAAGGTCCTGGTTTTCGGGCTAGTGAACCTGTACCAGACTAGTTCACTGGGTGCCTCCGAGAGCTCCACTAGTTCACAACATGCCCTGCTTGACGTAGTTTGCAAGGTTTCAGCAGAAGGAGACCGTGGAGCACTTTGAGGGCTTGATCATTGGCCCGAGCCTTGGCTTTTCGGGTGTGGGAGAAGGCAAAAGCTCCTGCTGAGGGACATAAACCCGAATTCCCTCCACGCTGGCAGACTGCCTGCATCGTGTCCATCACGTGTAGGCAAGATGAAGGAGTTCTGGTCCGGCATGATCAACAAGTGGAAGCCTCGGCTCCCACCGCCGTGTGTTGCGTGGAATGCCCTCAGAACCAAGTTGTCGGTTCTGACGAAGGCTCTCCACAGGCATTTGCTTGATCCACGAGCTTGCACCCATCTTTGAAGTTTATATATTCGACCAGAACCCGGCACCGTAAAGCCCGCATTCAACAACCCTAGAGCCCAGAGCCCTGAAGCCCTCAACATCCCACAACAGCCCCGAGGTGCATTCCCATTGGCCAGCGGCTCCCTGTTCCCCGGAACTGCTTTGCAGCGGAAGTCTCAGCCTCTCTGCGCCTTTCTCTACTATAGTGGCCTGAATCATTGCCTATATTATTCTGTGGGGATTCCTTGTTATAATTTAAGCATAACATACCCCAAAACCCTAAGGCCCCCCTATATTAGATAGACCTAGGATCTGATTACACAGTCCCATCCCCAGCTTCAATCTTGCAGATTTAGAATGTATAATAGGGAGTGCAGGGCTTGCAGAGCTTGAGGGTTGAGTTGCAAGCCAACTTTGCAGTGCCATGAGAGCAGAACAGGAGGCTTCCCTGTATGCCCAACAGCCCCAAAGTGCACCCTCAAAGCCTTAAAGCTGGCCGAGTCCATGGTGCAGACGGGAGCCAAAGGGTCCAAAGTCAATCAGCCGGGGGCCGAGCCGTTGTTCTGAATCTTCCCTGCCATGCGAACGCTTCAACAACTAGGATGCTGCTTTCAGGGCCGCTTTTGAGTGCAAATGTTCCTTCAAAGGGAAGCATTGATTAAGAAACATCGTGTCAACTTGTGTCAGGCAGAGTCATCCGAATCCTCGGCTGGTTTCAGAGTAGAATGAGTGGGCAAACCGCAGCTCTAGTGGTTTGCTGAGGTCGCAAGTCAGCTGCTGCTTGGGACAGCAGGACGCCAGCACCACCAAATCTCCTTCGAACATCCTGACATCCGAGAACCTGAAGTTCAACTCGTTGAACTTACTAAACTGCGGTTTCCAGAGGAGCTGGAGGGTCGCCTTCCACCCTTGATGACGACGCAGAGGCTTGTCTTCCCAAATTGGGCATGGGCTGAGGGCGGGCAGTGTTTCTCGATGCTGCCACTGTCAATCATGCCTAGCACAACTGGCCAGGATGGCATTGTTGATGGTGCTGTTTTGACGATGCCTGGTATCGTGGTGCCAATGGTGAGGATGACCTTCCGGATGATGGTCGACACGATGTGATGATAGCATGGCATGACGCGCTGATGGCCAAGGCTGTGGTGATGAAGTTTGCCATCTATTGCCATGATTCTGATTCCTGCTACTTGCTGTCTACAGTTGCCTCGTGTCTGATCCTTAGACAACCTTCTGGCAGGTCCCTGCCGTGCTTTGCCGTGCGTGATCTCTCCAACCGAACCCGAGGCAAGAGCTTTATTTTTGCAAAATCTGGATGGTTGGGAAGGCAAGGACGAAGGTAAGTTGCCCACGATGCACCATGTCAGGCTACATCGCTGACCGATTCTTAACGGGCATCCGACCGCAGGCTGGCAAGACATGGCCACCACCTAGCCTTCTCTTCCTGTTTCATACGCGGCTTCGAGTACCTGGAAGGAATTCTTCTTCCACTGCATGGCCGGGCGAGAAGGTCTCGTGGACACGGCTGTGAAGACGTCACGCTCAGGCAAGTTCTTCAGCTTTACTTCGGGCTTCCAGTCTGGCCTCTTTAAATGTTTGGAATTGTTTGGATAATATATAATACGGTTTTTTGGCGCGGCTGTCCTTTGGCAGGCTACTTGCAGCGATGCCTCGTGAAGCATTTGGAGGCACTCAAGGTGCCTGGAACGGGTTTCTATGTAAGTCAGGGGGTACACACAGAGCCTCGCGGTGTGAAGACAAGTCTGCGCAGGTGAGCTATGATCATACCGTGCGCGACAGTGATGGCTCCGTTCTGCAGTTTCTCTACGGAGAGGATTGTTTGCCGCAGTGCAGTAGTGTGGCCCGAATGCCGATACAGCCTAAATCAATGGCAAGGACGGCGTCGATGTCACTCGCGCAACGTACCTTTTCAAGTTCGACGAGCTGCGGCCAGACACCCGACAGCGACTGCGCACTTAACTCTTGCATGGCATGGCGCTGCATCTTTGACGGCCTCGATGTTACTGTAGCACTCCCAGATCCTGGCAACGGCCATGTGCTTCGAGACAAGAAGCTCTGTCACTTGCAACCACGACTGCAAGGTCCAACTTCCACTTCTTCGCGCAACCTGCTGGGCTCCAAGCGAAGAAGTGAGGGCATTGGCAGCGCCTGAAGCTTGAATCTGTGGACGTCTGACAAGGTGAAAAGCAAACTACAGCAGATGAGCAGCCCCCCGAGCTTTGTTGCTTTCGAGTTGAGGGAACGACTCATCGGATTCCGGTCGGGTCATGGCGGAACCCATTCCAACCTCCGATACATTGCTGGTTGCGGCGAGCCCGAGACAGCAATCTATACTCAGGGCACCAGGACCGTCACAATCACATAGAACTGGAGGCAATTGTCTTGGCAACTTGGGCAGCATCGTGCGATGACTGCTATCAACCAGCGCGTAACTGAGGCCAAAGCAGCCAAGCTGTGGATATCCAGTATCTCGGCTACTTTGGGTTTAGGGTTAGGTGCAGGCTAACTTCGGTCGGAAGGGCATCAACCCTAAACCCTAAACCCTAACATGATTGCCGACGTTGCGGCCGCAGAGATTGCTGAGCCTCAGAGTCCGAGGTGTGCGCGCCTCTTCTTGGCCGCCAGACAGGCAGCCAAAGCGTGACACTCAGTTGGCTCTTGAAGTCGCACTATGTCATTTACTCGGTAGACAATGGCAGCGACGGGACTTGGACTATGCTGAAGACAACTCCGAGGATGGCAACCTCCCGAAGGCCCTCGAGGCAGTTTTGCGTCATCTGAATCGTCGACATGGTGACCTAGCTCAGCCGATTGCGAGGCTGTGGAGGCATTGCTGAAATTGCAGACGGAGTTAGACTCCTGCTCTTTGCTTTCCTTGCTGCGTGCTTAGATGAAGCTTCTTTGATTGTTGTTCGCAGATCCATTGAAAGCTGAGGAAGGCGCTGCGCAAGAAGCTGCGGAGCCACATCAAGAAGGGCACTGCCGCTGAGTGTGTGGGGACCTCGGGGCCCGGGTGCAAAGGCTTTAGGGATTAGGATTTAGGATTTAGGGTTTAGGGTTTAGGGTTTAGGGTTTAGGGCAGCCGGCCGCTTTGGTGAAATAGGGTCACAGACTCGCAGGCCGGCTGTTGAGAATATCCTTTGAAAGTTCCATGTGGGAGTTTCCGAAAATAGGGGACCCTAATATAGTACCCCGACATAGGCTACCCCTTCATTTTGGGAAACTCCCATGTCATGTTTACACCTGATGCGAACAGGACCGCCTATTCGATCCCATTTCTGCAGTGCAGGGGCACCCAGTGGCTTGCAGTTTGGCACGGACTGATGGCCCTAAACGCTAAACCCTAAACCGCAAACCGGAGTGGTAGACCTCCCACAAAGTGGTTCCAGACCTTTCAATTTCTAGCGGACGGAAAAAGTTGATCAAACAAAAGCCACCGAAGCATCGAACGGTTTGAGAAGAACAGGGCTCTTCGGTTTTGGGCTTGACATTGTCGAGAGACTCCTTTAACAGTAAACGGGGTACCTACCTGTCTACTTGCCTACTTGTACCTACTTAGGTATTGTATGGATGGATGGATGGATGTATGGATGTAAGTGGGTGTGTAAGTAGGTAGGTAAGTATGTATGTGCATACACACACATATCTATATATATATATAACATTCATGTGTATTACCAGAACTATATGTATATGCACACACATTTAAACTATCACATAGATGGGCACATCAAACAGAAATACAGGCTGCGTTATGCACGTAGGTTGTCATTTTTTGGGATCTGCTCCTTTGCAATACTCTTCACGTGTGCGCGTATGTACACAAATACTTTCCTGCAGTAGCTTACAGGTATCTGTCTGTACGTACAATATTACATATACAAGACAAAACTAGTCCGCACATAACACGGAGGAAGCAAGAGCCGCATACCGATAGCGTCCGATAGAGAGACTTGAAATGCCCAGGTGTAGGGAGTGTAGGGCTTGTGGCAGAGGTCGGTTGTTCCAGACTCTTGACCCCTGCGTCCAAGCAAGCTAAATCGGCAGAGGGGTCCCGTTTTCCACTACGAGTTTTTGTTTGTAGAATCACGGGAGCCCGAATGTAGCGGACTCTCATCACTGCGGCTTTCAACTCACAAGGTCCCTTTAGAATCTTAGAAGCCAGAACAGGGCTGTCGTTGCTCAAGCCTGGTTAGCACGGCCCTGTAGCCTACACTCAGGGAGCAATCTTGAACTCCCTTTTCACATGAGGCTGGGGCCTTCGCATTACTACGGAGCGACATCGGAGAAGCACGAGGAAGCCATCTCCTCAGTGATTTTCCCACTCGAAGCTTCATCATCTCTCCGTTCGGGATTAAGGGCTCTGGGAGACTTCAGAGGTTGAGGCTTGCAGGCTGCAGGATGCAGCTTGTAGATCCGCCAGATTCCGCAAGACTTCAGACTTCAGAGTTTCGCGGGCAGCTTGCCTTTGCCGCCTTTGCCTTACCTGCAAGAGCTTCCCAGTAACGTTTTCCTTTTGTCGTGTCCGGTGGCAAGGTGGACGACATTCAGCGCAACCTCGAGCAAACTCGAAATCGCTAGTACGACTGACCGCTTCGTCAGCTGCAATGTGCGTTGAGGGTGAACCGCAGCTGTCGCAGCATACGTATTGAGGCTCAAACGTAGGCAGCTTAAACACTACACGCCAAGACCCTGAAACCCAGGCCCTAAACCTTACATACAGCCTGAGCCCAGGCACTGCAGAAGTATCTCAAGCAGAGCACAGAGAGCGGGCAGATGACGAGCAAGGAGGTGCGCTGGCGCAGAAATGCTTACGGGGTTTTGTATTCCTGAGGTATAGTTTTACAAGTGGTTTTGACATCATATACCCCATGCAAAACTCCATTCTACTGGTTCAGGCTGTTACAGGCCCCTATACATCAGAACCACTAACAGATCCTTCAAGTTGCGCACAGAGTCTTCATTGACCAGTTGGGAGTGGTCATGATTGAGCCTGGCAGGCAAAGCACTTCGAGCGCGCAATGCATCTGAAGTTCCAGCGGGGCCCCGAGCATTCATCACCAGAATGTCTCACTTCCTGCGGTGGGTCAATGTCACAATCGGCATCAAGCTTCAAGCCTAAACCCTGTGGTACCTTTGATTGGGAGCCTGGCTTCTTGCCTCCCCTTGCTTTGCAACTTGCAATCGTAAGGCGCACGCTGGCCGAACCTGGCGAAGCGGTTGGTGTCATTGCAGCCCAAAGCATGGGCTAGCACCTCAATTCCTAGGTTCTTGTGACGGAGCTTGGCTTGGGTTACCATGTTCAGGATGCCACTTTCCTCATTGTGACAGCTTGGATGTAAAATCGGCTCCTTAGCAAGCGCCCAGATTCCTGAGCAGATCCTGTCTTCTGAGGAGAACCGAGCACCCAGATGACGCTCAACACCTTCCACTTGGCAGGACATGGAGGCAGTCGTTCGTTCGTTCTTATAAGACTCGCTCTAGCAGTTACAGTCAGCAATCAAGGGCCCAAGCGGATGGGACGCGTCTAAAAGAGCTGTGGGGGTCCTGGCAGCAAATACATGTGGTACTATCCCACGACAGAGAAAGTGCATGTGGACTCAAGCCTTCCTTCCCGGCCGCAGGTGCCAACGTGACTTTGGGAATCCCACGGCTTCGCGAGATCATCCAAACGGCCTCAAGGACTCAAAGCTGGGCCGGCACGGTGAGGGCTTTTGAGGATATACCCTCTTCATGCATCACGGGCTTATGAGGTCAGAGATTTGACGAATCAGCTCCGTGGCGAAAGTAAAGAGGCAGGAAGCACGGGCTACATCCTCTGCTAGGAGCTGCTCCACACCGCTGATGACTGTGCCTGTGCTGAGTGATTGCCTCAGCCTGCCTATGCAAGAGTCACAGCAGAGATAGCACTGAGTTCGGGCGAAGCTCTTGGTAGCTCATTGGGTGCAGCTCCGAGTTGTAGAACGTCACTTGAATACTAGTCTCGCTTCCTGCTTCAGTACATGTTTCAGCATTTCCAGGTGCGGGTCCCGACGGCAAGCCTGCGTCGCTCCAGCAGCGAATTGCCGAGACCCGAGCTACCCTGAGGAGCCTGTTGAACCCCTTCTTCAATTCAGCTTCACTTTCCCTGATGTACGGGCCTGGTTCGGGAAAACGTATCCTTTTTATGGTCCCCATGTACTTATTCCGTGGCGTACCCCAACACCCAGTTGTAATGAATGGGCTGGGGGTCAGCTCCGGAGTGTCCTCAGGCAGCTGCCCAAGCGCTGAAGCGACGATTCAGAAAGGCCAGCTCATTCTGGAGAGCACTTTTTGGGATCTGAGGTGGCAGTTGAAGGCTTGGTCCAACAATTCTGCAAGATCCTTCCTGTTATTGAAGCAAAGTTGCTGCGACTTGGTTTGCGAGGGCAGTTGGAACATGGGATGCCGACGGATGCGGATGCCAACTGGAAGTGTCTGTGGAATGCTCATTGAGTCAGCAAAAAATGGTGATTCGCGTGATTTGGGAATCTGGGGGATGAAGTCTTTGAGAATGACGGTGCGCGCGTGCCATTCCCAGAATGGGCCGAGCATCAGAAACATCAAGAGCCAATCCTAAAGACGAGTCCCTGTGGCCGACGGCGGCTTTCAAATCATGACCGGGCTATTAGTTTTGTCCATCAGAGTTTCACCCTTCACGGTCTTGCTGGGGGCTTTCATCAACACCCCTTAAAACTGTCGCGAGGGATTGGATTAAGACAGGGTGGGCATGTGCTAGAGAAGACGGCTCCGCAGATTTACGGTATGTTGATGTTGATATAGCAAGCCCAGTATGAGTGCCCGTCCCCTACGAAAAGGGAGTTAATTGCAAGCAGACCATGTCTCCTGTGCAGCGCTGGGCTGTCGCCAACACCGTGCAAGCGTTGTCTGATGTTTCAGTTTCGAGTTGCAGGTGACGGTGATGGACTGCGTGGCCAGATTGGTCCATGCCTTAAGCCTTTGCAGGCATCAACACATGGGCAACATGATTGAACAATTCTCACAAATCTGCATTGCATTGCACATACACTCACCATGAAAGAATACATCACAACACCAATAGCCACAGCAATAGTTATGCGTGCCAGCACTGATATGTATATATATATATATACATACATAATATGTGTATATATATATATATGTATTATACACATAGTATGCGTGTATCTAGATATAGATGGTTCACTTACACACACACACACCAGTGACCCCAATGTGTATGTATGAAGGGTGAATGTATGTATGTATACAGAGACAGACAGACAGACAGACAGACAGACAGATAGACAGATAGACAGATAGACAGATAGACAGATAGACAGATAGACAGATAGACAGACAGACACACACACAGACGACATGCGTAGTTCATACATGCATGCATGTGCATGCATACAGACATACACACATCCATACATGCATACTTCCTCCGCGCACACACGTACATACATGATTTACATTCAAACAAATACATATGTAGAGACAGACAGAGACGCGCATGGCTCCATGCAGACGAGCATGACGGCACTTTCATTTGCGCCTGAGGTCGTGAACGAAAGCGTCCGACTCATCGGCTCCAAGGCTGCTGGAATCCCAGCTGGTGGGGTGTCTGTGCGTAGGTAGCTACATCTCTTTACACGAGTCATGTCTTTACATATGTATGTGATATATATATATATATAGATATACACATACATACATATATATATATATAGATACATACATACATACATACATACATACATACATACATATATGCATGTATGTGTACATATATATATATATAGCTTTACGTATGCAATGTATGTATTAATGAATGAATGAATGAATGAATGAATGAATGAATGAATGTATTTATGTATGTATGTATGTATGTATGCATGTATGTATGTATGTATCTATGTTTCGACGGGCCCTGAATTCAGCAGTTCCAACGGCTGCATCGTGTTGCAAGGTCTGGGTGTACCACTGTCGGATCGAGTTCATGCCGCTGGACGAGCTTTGCAAGGCCTCTTTTTTTGTTGTCATCGCGCGTATCCGGAGCGAAGCTGATGAACTCAGAGCCTTAGAGACAAGTTGCAGCAGCTGAAAGCGTGCAGCAGGCCGTGCCTTATGTGGCGGTCTCGGCTCTTGCTCACCAGCGCTTTTCAGCAGCTAAACAGCTTGCTCGCATTGTGGTCGAATGCTGCCAATATAGTGGCTTTAATCATTACCTATACTATTTTCTGGGTTCCTTATTATAGTTATGGTATAATGGGCCCCAAAACCCTATTTTGTCTCGATGCCAAGGTCACGCGGGAGCGGCCAGCAGCCGAGCAAGCTCCGACTTATGCGCACCGGATTATGAGGTGTTTAGGATTTGGGGATCTGGAGTGTAATTTAGGAATTCTGGTAGCGGACTCCGAAAATCCCGCATAGCTTTGCAAGGACCTTTGGAACGACGATGACGATGATGACATCCTGATGAGGTTCACGACTATGGTCGTGTCGATGACGATGACGATCAGCCAGGATTGACAGTGACTGCTGGATGACACGGCGGCCCGGAAATCCATGTACCAACCTGTTTCATCGGCTCCCATGCCTCGTTTGTGTGCTGCCGTCCAGCTCACAGGTAACCGGCAGGTAGGCTAAGCCCTAAACCTCCAACAGACAACTTCTCCCGCGATGTGCAGGGGCCAGACTACTAGTTTGATCTCGGGCACTGGCTGTTCGCATCTTGAGGAAGTGCAGATCCGTGCAGAGAGCCTTGCCACAGGATTGCGTTCCCGAGTGTCTTTGAACTTGGTTGAGGACCAAGATGCCGCCGAGCACATGGCACGCTACTTGACATGGGCGGCCCAGGCGCCTAAGGTGCCCAAGGCACCGAAGGACAAAAGGCAGAGCCCCGAAGCTCCCGAGCGATCCCGTCTTCGCACGGGAGCAACCTCGGGTGTTGCCGTGGCCGCAGAGGTCCTCGGCCAAGCGATGGTGGCCATGAGCAAGATGCAGGACAGGTTCGACCGACTGAATGTGGCCTTCCAGGATCTTGAGAGGAACGGTGGGATGGCCTCTGCCTTTAACGGAGAACGACCGGTGGCGGTCGACAGCGCAGCGCGCGCCTCCGAAGCCACGGTTCAGGCAGCAGAGTGCTGCTACGCAGCGCTGAAGAGTCTCCCGGCATCCACGGTCTGGGTGGAGCTGCCCGATCCCATCAGCACAGCCGAGGCGCTGGAAGCAGCCGCAGCTATCCTGAAGACTGGCAGACTACAGCTTGCGGAGCTCGAGGCCTTCCAGGTCGTCACTTTGAATCGAATTCAGGCTCAGGCCCAGAGCGTCTACCGAGGCCCCGACTTCCCACTAAGTCCCTTCAAGGCTATGGCCATCACCGAGCCTTGTGGCCCCAAGCCGTGCAGTGCTTCAGGGACTTATCTTTGGAGTGAAGCTCGGGGCTTGCTGAAAGCTTTCGCCAACGGTCACAAGATTGACAGGGAGTTTGGCGCCAGCATCTTGAGCGAAGTCTTCCATGTTTTCGACGATCTCATCGATGGGCTGGCACGCATTCTTGAGGAGTTGATCTGCTTGGAAAGCGAGACCGACTCGATGTGCCCCGCGTTGCTGGGCGCTGCTCAGGTTCAGAAGGACCTGTTGGAGTGGAAGCTAACCCTTCTCGATGATGAGATCAGCCAAACACAGCAGTGCAAACTGATGGAGTTCGTTGAGGTAGTTCTGGCTGTGGGCGATGCATTGCAAGCCGCCATTGTGCAGTTGCGTCGGAGACGCCAACAGGTCGTGGAAGGCATGAAGGCTTCTATTGAAATCAAAGCGGCCATGATGCCAGCCACAGAAGGAGAAGGCCCGCAGCCACAGCTCTTTGCAGACTGAGCTGCAAGCTGACGAAGGCGAGCGAACGTCTTTTAAGAAGCCCTTCGCCAAGAGTGGGTACAGTGATATAGTTTGCTCAGCTGCCAGCACCGTTTTAGTTGAATTCATGAGACGCAGCCCTCTTGTACAGTTGGCTGCGGGCGACGATCGTTTCAGTGTCTTCTGTAAAGCACTAGCGGCTAGAACTACTCGTAGCGGCATAAACGAATGCTTTCATTTTGTACAGACTGCCGCTGGAACCTGGTTCTTGCACACAAATGTCTAGACTGGATGACCTCAGCGCATATCTCGTAGAAAGCACAAGCAAGCACTGCTCATAGGTCGCCGTGCCCTTGTAAGCTAAAGCCAAGATCTCTGCCCAGGCTGAAGAACTTCGTCGAAACCACCGTCGTTCGTGAGCTGAAGTGCGCCCACAGCTTCTAGCAGCTCTCACGCCGCATGGCATTGCCGTTTTTCTGGACATTGCGCGGCCGCCCCTACTAAAACTCTGAACCCCACATGCTAAAACTCTGAACCCCACACACCCTACAGTAAATCCTAAACCTATCCCTGGCCAGGAAGCAGCTGAGCAAGATCATCAGCGAAGCCAAGGACGTGAAGGTCAAGGCCAGGTCCGTTTGGGCGCCGTTGCGTTCAGATGATAATTAATTACGGGGTATATATATATATATATTCGATCATATTCGTCTAGATTTAACTAGGTTTTATTGTTCGAGTATCTTAGAGTCGACTAGGTGGCAATATCAGGCAAACCAGTGCCTGTCGACGACGCAGGTGGCAAAGCGAAGCAAAGCTGCTGCAACTGGCACTGGCGACACAGGCGGCACTGGGACATGGACGCATACAACCACCACCACCAGAAAAGCATAGCCAGCATTATCGGCCCTGAGGCTTGGGCTACAAGGCTGAGCACAGGCTCTAGCACTGCGAGCGGCTGACATAGATGAACCGGTACTTTCTGCGACTAGCAGCAGTCGTCGACAGCATCATCCTTGCCATCCTCCCCATCTTTCTCGTCATCATCCCTCATCATCTTCGTCCTATCATGCTAATCAGTCCCATCCGAAGGCGGAGATGCGCCAGAAGCAGCTGAGGCCGAGGAGGACAGGTTGATGGGAACATGGCACTTCAACTCTGGTTGCATTCCCATGACAGACTTACAAACACCTGTTGACACTGAGAAGAAGCCTCGACGCCCATGAAAGCCAGTAGCGCACTGGTGATGCTGGGCAAGCTGCTGATGGTGATGACGATAGTTCTGATGATTATCGTGATATTAATATAGCTCATGTTAATGATTCTGGTGATGCTGCTTTTAGGCTAGGGGTCGAATCTGGGGCCTTGCTTCTATTTGGTTCTTCAGGCGAGATGTGCCAAGTTACGGGTATGTGCTGTTTCGTGTAGGGCACGGGGCGACAAACCGAAGATCCTGAGTAACGTGTTCTAGGCCGAAGTCAACCTACATGGTTCAGTAGCAGGCATGGGAAGAGAGCTTCCCGACAAGTGCACCATGAACAGGAACCGAGGTGTCAATGAACCGGCAGCTGGATGTATAATTTGAGTCATTTGGGATCATAAGTTTATGGTTGGCACGGTTTCTCTCGCCCTAAACTGTCCGGAAACTTGACATTGCCCGACCTCGACCACTCTGAGCCCAAAAGTATCTGGAAGCCTAGAATCCTAGAACCCGTAGTCCGCGAAGGAACCCGCAAGATCCCCAGAGCCCCCAACTCACGAGGAGGAGCAGCCCGAGGATTCCGGCAAGAAGGCCAAGAAGAAGAGAAGCCTGGGTCCCAAGCTCACAGCAAGCCGGAGAGCGAGGGCTCTACTGGGGTTTAGAGTCTTGAGGTCATTAGCCTACCCGTACTAGACGAGACTGACGATCGCCTCACAACTTCGGTCTTGAGATTTCAGCGGTTTAGCTTGGGGGATTTGTGTGTTGAGCATCTTAGGCAGTAGGGGTGAGAGGGTTTCGAGGTGGTTGGTGCGATCTGTAAGATGATTGCTGTTGCTGGAGTCGTCATAGCTCATATTGTTGAGCCTGATCCGTCTATGAGTCTATCTTGCATTGCGAGTGGACAGAGAATACTTATATAATTCGATCGTGGCGATGGCCACGATTGGTACCAACCCTCGTATTGTAGAGGCAGCACATGGCAGCACAGCTCGACCAGAATTGCTACCTCTAATACGCCCACTGTGATGATTGGTGTTGCTACTGCGACACTGCCTCTTGTTTACTGCCGCTGTCGTCCATGTTGACAGCACGAGCAGATCTGTGCTATGGTACTATAGCAGGCATCACTATTGCCAGTACTGTCGTATCTTTTGCTTATTGACGTTGTGACGAAAGGCAATCTTCTGCTAAAGGCAATCTTCTGCTCATGGCATTGATGCTGTTGCCATAGTTGTGGCAAGCGTATTTGTGCGAGTATGGTTTTGTTGTAGGCCCTAGATTGTATACTTCCGGATGCTTGGACACTCGCTGACCAGGAAGAATTCTTGGAGCAGAAGACAAGGCAGAGGCACCCTGCCTCGCAACGAGAAGTCTCGATAATCCTTAACCCCGAACCGTAGTTTCGCAAAGAGTCCTGCTAGGAGGAGGAGCGAGTTGCAGATGCCATGGACGCAGAGGCTCTCACGGAGAGACTTGCCCCGATGCTTCGCTCAGCCATAGAGCAGCACAGGCTGACGGAGGCGACGCAGAGGAGGAGGAGAGTCTCTCTTCAGGCAGATTTGGGAGAAGCGAGTGTGGTGGCAAGGGGGCATGCACTGCGCGCCTGAGCAGCTGCCGACGAGGCTTCTACACCTCGGTAGACGGCGATGATGCAGAGCTCTTGGATGTAGCAGGGGCTGCATAGCATTTCAAGCCATTCGCATGCGAGAGACTGCCAGCGCATCGTGTCTTCTCTGTGGCTTTCGCAACTTATTCAACCTGAGGAGAGGGCCATCGAAGATCCTGACGAACAGGAGTTGGAAGGAGCTGAGGGAACCAAGGCCAGGCAAAGTAGGGAGTTACACACTGAGCATATGTTTTTTCGACTTGGATGTTGACAAATTCGGACTTGCCCACCTCAAAAAATTGCACGTCCAATACCCGGCAGTTCAACTGCCACTAGATAGGGTTAACGTTACAGACAAACACTACTAGTTCATCGCAGAGTAACTAAGTAGGGGTAGCACATGGTAGCAGCTGTTAAGCGCTTTCGTTGATTTTATTGTTTACTGCAGGGTGATGAGGAGGAAGACGAAGAAGGAGCGGATGAGGCCAGGGCATGCGGCTCGATGTTTCCCATGCGGCACAGCATAAGTTTGTATGTCGCGGGCTTTGAGTTCCTCATGAAGCCCCTATAGATCCCTTTTAGGGGGGTTTAGGGTTTAGGGTCTAGGGCCCCTAGTAAGATGACGATTAGCGCTTGGGAGCCGGGCCAAGGGGAAGAGAGACAAAGACGAGGAGGAGCAAGAGGAGGAAGAGGCTCCGGCCGAGGCAGAGGATCTGAAAAGGTTCCCTCTAAAGCCGGGAAAACCAGAATGCAAATATCCTAAGCCCAAGAATTATAAACCCTGAGCAGAATAGAACCCTGTGTATAAGTAGTTAGTAATTAGGAGCATCTATACGGACCTCTAGATGAGGTGCGGTAAATCATTTCACCAAGGCAACTACGTATTTATTGCTCTAGAATTTATGGTTTAGGGTGTGGGGCTCAGGGCACCCTGCGACCATAGCGGGCAAGAGAAATGTGGGTTGCTCTAAGCTGGTGTCCGTTTTACACGGATCGCGATGATTTTGGCCAGTTCATGTTGAACTCGACGCTCTGAAAGGAGCAATATCTTTCAGAGCACCCCCCCTGAAAGCAATGAAGCAACGCCGACGAGCCCAAAGAGCAAAACGTGGAATATTTCAACAAGGAAAGTACCGGCAGAAAGAAGAGACGAAAGAAGGAACCTTGAACCCTCAAAGCCCCAAGCTATAAGCCTACGTGCACGTGGCTTTGTCAGGGTGGTGCGGACATGGCGTCTCCGAAGGCTCGGAGAGTGGCCTCGTGGCCGTAGTCGCTTAGGCTCAGCCCAGAGTCTGCAGCCTTGAGGAGTTTAGGATTGGAATTACTCGTTAAATGGAATCTATAGAGGGGTTACTACGCGGCTACTTGACCCTAAGGGTGTAGGTTTTAGGGTCTACGGTGTGGAGCTTAAAGTTTTGGGGGTCCAGGGTGCCGTTTAGGGCTTCAGAAGCCGCCTGATCTGGCAGGGGAAGCGCGCGAAAAAAGGAGACACGGGTGGAACGAAGGCGCAGAGTCCCGCACGCGTGAATCCGGCCTTATGTGGCTATCTGAGGAGGAGCGGGAGGACGATGAGAAAGACGGTGGTTCTGGAGGTGCCTCGGAATTTCAGTTCATGAACTTCGGGCAGAGGGTTGCAGTGGAGTGGTTGCCGCCTTGTTGCGACGTATGTGTCTCGTTGCATGTCGTGCACCCTTCGTGCGTCGGCACATGTATAGAAAAGTGCACATCCGCAACATAACAGTTCTAAGATGTTTCTAGCTAAGCGGGGTTCTACTGCTATTCGAGTACGAGACTTAACGGTTATCATGCATCCCATGTTTTGTATGTGATCCACAAACCACACTGCACAGTACACGCACCAAGTCTGTGTACATACACATATACATATATGCATTTATGCACACACATACAGACATAAGGATATGATGGAGATATGTACATACATACAGATATATGTATTCTACCATTTATCCTTAATGTGTATATGTATATATATATATATATATGCATGATATCTACGTATGAAATATGCATATGGGGGGTGTGTGTATATCTATATATACATATATATATATATATGTGCATGTGCAGGTGTATGTATGTGTGTATGTATATATATATATATATAATACACATGCACACACCACGTTCATTGATCTCCTTGTGTGCTCTTGCGTGCATTTGCAGCAACAGGCATCCAGAAGGCCAAGACCGGCACCCAGGTGCGACTTCGTGCATGAACTTTGGATTGAAATTTTGTTGGTTGAGTCAGACGGGTTTAGGGAGATAGACAACAGGCATTCCGGCTTCAGGATGTCGGGCTGAGAGTTTTCCTTGTCAAGAGTCTGGTGGAAGACCTATGCTTCGGAGCGGATGATGACGGCCAGGGCAGAAGTTGGTTGATGAAATCACAAGCAGAGCAACGCCCGCACTGCACATCCTGAGCTTCGGACGATTGGGACCAAGTGCCTTTCAACAGGAAGGCTCGAAAAACCGGAAGACCAAGACCGGCAGCAGCGTCCCCGCCTCAAACGCTGGACTTGCTGTTGCCGAGCCTTGCTGCAGTTCGGCGGCAAAGGCGCGACAGCTCGGAGACAAAGCCGCTTCCTTGCAAAGCCAGGCCGAGAAGGACCTTGGCGAGGCAGCAGAAAAAGAACCCTTTGTTGAACCCAGCAGTCAATCTGTCTCGAGAGCTCCGAAGTTGGCCAAAAGCGATTTGCGTCAGGCTTTGAAGGAGGACAACCTGGTTTGGCGATCAGAGCTGAGGGGCGATTCGCAGAGACCTCAGACCTCCACGGCAACAAAGATGTTGTATCCCGGCAGCGTAGGTATGGCTAGGCTGGTTGGCCCTGTTGCCTACCGCTTCTCCGCATTAAGCAATTAGGCATGTACCCCAACCCTCGCCTCATGGCAAAGTAGCAAAAGAGCCGGAGAGTTGGCCTTGGCAAGGATGTCGATCATCGTGAACCACAACCATTCCCAGCGAGCAGCTCAGGGCTTTTGTTGGATTCCTTGGCATGGTGTTGTTGTCAGTGTCTGGCTAACTCTTTCAGTGCTGCCTCTTCAATGAGGTGCCCTCACAGTCTGTTTGTTGGGGAGGTGCGAGCCTGTACCGCTGGAAACGTTCGCGACTCTTGTAGTTTGAGCTCTGTTGTCAGAAGTTTAGATTCTGAGCTGCACGCACTTCCGTTCGCTCGTCACATGATCTGCATGTTCCGGCGAGGTGTTGCGAGGAGTTCTGTCGACCGCAACATTGCAGGACAGTCGCATTCGCTTGACATCTTCGATCATCTTCGCAGCACATCATCAGGATTCGAAAACACTTCCGCCTGATGCAAACCAGACGCAGGATCCCGCGTGTGACGGGGTGGAGGCAGTTCATGTGAAAGTTGAGAATGACAAGGCGCCATGATCGAATGTTTGTTTAGCGGTGCTCTTCTCAGGCAGTGCCGCTAGAAGTGTAGCGGGGGTTTCCTTTTGGCGTGCTCGTCAAGTACTTCTCAAGACCATGACGGTCTGTCTTTGTGTGTGGCTTTGCGTGGCATTGCGTAACAGCTGAGAGCAACAAGCGTGCTGCCAACTCGAAATCAATGGTTCCATGCCACGGGAAACCGGAAGACATAAAAGTGGCTATCGATGTGACGAGCGAGAGCAACCAAGACGACGAGTCTATTGTAAGGATGCCCGGGTCGGGTCGTATCAGTTGCCGAAGACCAAGGGCTGTGCCCTATCTCTAGCCTTTCGTGTGGGTCTTCCTTGCCCCATGGAGCTTTGCAGAGTTCCCTGATCTCGGGTAGTTTGGTTCATTTTTCATGATACTGTTGGCTGTTGTCCGCCCCGCCTTCTTAGCATTGCTACTCTGTGGCTACTCTGTGGTTATGATATCCTTGGGAGGGGATGGGCCCGTCAAGGCGGGCTCGGCAAAGCCCTGGTTTTCGGCGAGGTGAGCCTGGAGTGCGAGGGGATCAACCTCTTCGGCCTGCTGTGCTTGCCTCCCACACTTGCACCTTAGCAGGAGACAGACAGGCTCACCCCAGTCTTTGCGCTTCTGGCGTTCTGGGACTTGAGGAGGCTGAAAACGAGTTATCCCAGCCTTTAGAGGCCAAGGATCCTTTTCGGGATGCACGACTCAGGTAGCACACAGCCAGATCTACACCAACAACATCAGGACCGACCAGTCTTGTAGTCGGTCGAATTTCTTTGAGGGTTCGCCGCTTGGGTCGGGTGCCGTTGGGCCCACAGATTCCCTACACGGATTGCAATAGCGGGATTCTTCGGCGGTAGACTCACCACGCCTTCTGAACTCCTAGCAGGCACATCCTGGAGACTTTTGGGGTTGAAGCTGCGCGTGCATCGGCACCTCGTCCCGGCAAGAGGGTGTAAGCAGAATCCGTAGCCGCAGTAGTGACAGCAGAGCAGCTCGAGCCACGTCGGCGTTTTTTTACTGCGTGCAAGAACATGCCATAGATGCGTCGAGCTGAACCTGAGGTTGTCCGAGAAGTTCGCGGTGTCTTTGGCCACTACGGGATTCAGGCTTTGGGCATCGCAGAGCTCCGTAGATACCCTTCCGACATGGCACTGGTAATGTCCAGGATAAACGGATTGTCTGTTGTGAAGAGGTGGATCACCGCCACCTCTCGCTGATTGCAGACTACATGGCCCAAGCGGGCGGCTTGCGGCCGTGCTGCTGGCCTGGTGACGCACTGCCCTGCACTCGAACTGCCACAGTTTCTCAGCCAGGTTCAATCGCATGGGGATGGTACATTGTGGCGATCTCAGCTCTGAGTTTGGCAGAGCTTGCTCGAACTAAAGCAGATGGAAGATTCCCAGGTACATCGCCACTACTGCAGATGTCCTACGAGACGACCATGCAGTTCCTGTCTGGCGCGTGCAAGGCTAGCTGCTCTTTCTGCGTCCCAACCACTGATATTTTCTCGAAAACCTCGAGACACTTCAGCGCATCTCGTCCACTAGGAAGATCTGCTCGACAATATGATCTCGCCTGCAAGCGCTATCGTGCTTGGGCAGCCTCCTGCTGTCGGCACTGGCGTGGTCATCACCCCGGGTCCCTGAAGCTTCAAAGAGACTGGTCCTGAGTTCGCACCCGACTCTTTGACAACTCTCAATTACTGCCGCCATCTATTGTACCATGTATGAAGGCTCATCACCACGTATCATCATTTTATCAGTGCATGTCATGATATTGCTGCTGCTGTTGTTGTTGCCAATGCCTGCAAAGGTGAATCTGCTGGTGGATCTGGATCCGCCGGTGCAGCCCTCAGAACCAGTGGATCCCTTGATGGTCACCGCACGTGATGGTTTCGTTGGGCGACGGGTGCCTGTCTGTTCGGTTCCTTACCAAATTCCTTACTTTCTGAGACATCCACGTTCTTCAGGATCCACCATGGAAGAAGCAGAGGCGCTTCAAGTTCCCCGTGTGAATCGGCCAAGTCCAAATCCAAGTCTCAGAGGTTGGTGTTAACAGTACTGCCTAGTCCCACTCATGTTCAGAGGAACCCTGCGACTTTGCATTTGGCCAGAGATTGCTGGTTGCAGCTGCCGGTGAAATCGGCAGCCTAGGACGGCCAGCCATGTACATACAGGCAGCTTGGCATCCATTGCTTAAGGTGCACAAAGTGGGCATGGGCAGGGTGCATCGTTCGGCGGTCTTGCTGTATCTCTGTGAGCAATGCCGGTGCAGTTCATTCGCGGCAGCACGGTTCATCTTGATTAAGGCTGAAGAGTGTCCGGGACTTGTGGCATCATGTGGTGGTCTTGGGATGCGGTCGTGTACAGTCCTGAAGTGGTCTTCCAGTGATGCCCTATGCGGTCTTCGATTGCTGCGGTTTGGGGATTTTTGAGGTCTTCCCCAACATACTCGATTTTTTCAGTCAGTGATATACCATGAGGTTATGTTCAGAATTTAACTTCAATATGTATCAGTAGGAAGAGTCTTGCGCACTGCTCCGTAGAGCGGCCAGCTTTTGACCATCACCATGCCTGACAGATGTTCAACCATCATCAGGATGCGCTGCAGAAACACACACACACACACACACACACACGTGCCAGACACTGTGTGACACACAAACACACACGCACACACAGCCAAAACATTGGCCAACGCAATGCCATGCAGTCAGCGGAGCTCGAGAAACTCTGGTCATTCGAGACGTTGCGCACGTCCGATTGGAGACGCTTTCGCACTGCTTACCTTGGTGCTTCCATCAGACCAAGTTCGAGAGATACAGTGAAGCTTTTGCATTGTGAGTGCAAGCTTATGGGACCATCCGTTCTTTTCAGGCAAAGGGCAAAGAGGAAGTTCGGGAAACGGTCATGTTTGTTCGCGTAGGATGATCACGGACGTTCCAGCAGCAGCAGCAGCAGCAGCAGCAGCAGCAGAAGCCGTACATAGCAGTGGCATGCGGAGGCTCAGTGGCACGACTAGCAGCGCAGCAGAAAGAAGCAGGAGTAGTCATCGTAGGAAGAAGCAATTGCAGGCGGACCAGCAGCAGTAGCAGTTGCCATCGTGGTAGTTGGAGGTAGTAGGGGAAAAGAAGTCTCGCTACAACTTCCATTGTACTACTGCTACTATATTTCTTTATTTGTAGTATTTGTCATTATTACTCCTACTACTGCTGCTGCTGCTACTACTACTACTACTACTGCTACTGCTACTGCTACTGCCATGGCTATTGCTGCTACTGCTACTACCACCACTACCGCTGCCGCTGCCGCTACCACTACCACCCACCCAAACCACCACCACCACCACCACCAACCCAGCAACACCACTTCTTACAAACCTGTAAGCCCGGTACGTATGAATTCATGCGAACCGTTTAAGCACGGCCAGCGACGCATTCGCCGGCCTTTTATGCTGTCCCAACGTCGACAAAAAGCCGCTGCTGCTGCTACTACTACTACTACTACGACGACGACGACGACTACGACTACTACTACAACTACTGCTGCTATCACTACTCGTAATCATATTGTTGGTCGTCGTCCTCCTCCTCCTCCTCCTCGATATTGTGCGATTGCTGCCCACGTTAGTGGCAGTATCGGGGAACAATGGGAACAACAGCATCACGAATGTTATGAGTAGCCCTCAGAACAAACTTTAAAAGCTGTCCTTTCAGCTCAGAAGCAAGATCCGATAGCTTCATATAGGATATCTTAAGTTTTAGGGACGTGCAGGTGCCATGCGGGATTCTCCCGATGCGTTTATCGCAAGCTTGGAGACGGAAGAGGCGCATCTCGTGGAGAAGTGGCAAGAGCGCATCCAACAAGGTGGCCCTTCACGAAGTCTTGTGCCTTTCTGCTTCGAGCCTTACGCCCGACAGATGTGGGCAGCACTTGCTTGGGTTCCTAACTTGATCAGTATGTCAACAAGCAGGACCCTTGTGTACAAAACCTGCCACATCAAGTCTTGGACGCAATCTCACTTGTTGAAAGGTGTGGTCGTCTTTTGTGCTTCTGCCGGATGCGATGTGGGCTTTGCGTGGGTTGTGCGGAAAGGAGGCTGGCATCCACGAAGCACCGCATTAAGGCTTTTGTTTCCAATGCTGAAAAAGACCAGGACGGGTAGGGATTTTAAGTTTTGCTGATTCGCGACTGCTGAGTCTGAGTGCCTGTCCTGCAGGGCAAGCGTAGATGAATCAGCTACAGTCGCTTTTGCATGATCACAAAACTAAATGTCGGATCACTGGACTGTCCAGCTTGCACTGCATGCCCTCAACTCTGACTCTGAACTGCAGATGCGGTGACCCTGGGCTTATGGGTTTCGCCGGAGCACCGCTGCCGCGGGATCGGAGCTGCACTTCTCGCCGCTCTGTGCGATTCAGTAGATGCCCGTGATGCGCAGCCAAGTCTAAGTTAAGTCTACGTGACATTCCTGTGTGCCAAGGATGCAGCTATCCAGTGGGCACGCAGTGTGGGAGCGAGAAGGGTCTCGCTGAACGTCGCAGACGGGACTGCGGAAGGGATGTGCTGAGATCACGATCTTACATGCAGCACTGTGTCCTCAATTAGAAGCCTACAGGGTCGGGCCGGTTGGGAACATGGTGTATCAGCTTCAGAAGTCCCTTCGGACGTTGGGTGAGATTCTGTGACGCCTGGTAGCTGCGGCGACGAGCTTTCAAAGCTTAGATGAAGGGTCTCGGCCAGCCCTAAATGAGAAGAACGATGCTGCCATGCGGTTATACCAGAGAATGGGCTTTCAGCGCAACTTGACGAAGCAACCACCCAGTGTGCAGGAATCATCAGCTTAGAGGTTTGAGGTTTGGAGGTGCAGCAACAGGACCAAGACAGCCTTCACGATTTGCGTTTGCTCAGGCACAGGTGCTATTGCAGCCCTTCCACCTCCGCGTGAGCACATCTCGAAGCACCAGTTCGCCTTGGACCTCTAACTCTAAGCCTACGTGACCGCCGAGCACTCGCCGCTGGACTTCAGGCCCTGTTCCTATCAGAAGGGCGGAGATGCTGTTCATGCGCTTTCCTTGAGAGGCGCCGCTGTCGTCGCAGACCTTACCGATCTTCGGCGACTCTGAGGCGAGAAGCAATATCTCACAGCCGGCACGTGCCCGCCCGCTCTTTCTGTGCCCTGTAGAGGAGGGGGGGCCTTTATTCTTCGGCTCTGAGAATGAGAATGACGACAATGACTAACTAGAACCCTTGCTGACTAAGCCCAAAGCACCAGCTGCATCTCTTCGGGACTTTCTGCATCTTTCAGCCATGCATCGCGCCTTACGCGGAATCCGATCCTTTGCACCCGCCTGTGCCGTGTTCGGTGTAGCGACACCGAAGCTCCTGCAGCAAAACTCCAGAGCTCGCGCTGAAGCAGATAAACCACGGCAGTGCTTGCGTCCCACATCGTGGACAGCATCGCCTGTCCATTGCGAAGCAAGCACAGGAGCAGGACCATCCAGGGCTCTGTATCCGGAACTGACGCCATACCAGACAGGAACTTTGACAACTGCAGACGGCAAACATGACTTGTATTACGAAGTCTCAGGCAATCCAGAGGGCAAGCCGGCCCTCTTCCTGCATGGAGGACCTGGTGACGGTTCCAGTTCGAAGCATCGGCGACTCTTTGACCCATCTGTGTACCGAATTGTCGTCTTTGACCAGCGCGGCGCTGGAAAGTCAGAGCCAGGAGGTTCCTTGGAGCAAAACACCGCAGAGGCCTTGGTCCAAGATATCGAGCAACTGAGGCGGTTTTTGGGTATCGAAGAGTGGGGCCTCGTTGTTGGAGGCAGCTGGGGATCCACGCTTTCCCTTTTCTATTCCACGATGCATCCGACAAAGGTGAGAGGCCTGGTGCTCTACTCGATCTTTCTACCGAGTCCAGAGTCAGTCAAGTGGCCTTACAGCCGCGAGGGAGCAGGGCTCTTCTTCCCTGAAGACTACGAAGCCTTTCTCTCAGCCTTGCCCGTCGAAGAGCGTTCGGATCCCATCGGCTCCTATGCCAAGCGCCTGAGCTCCGCAGATCCGACGATCTGCTATCCGGCGCGCAGTAGCTACACGAAATGGATCATGCGGCTACTAGGCCTGCAGCCAGACGAGGACTTCATCGCCAGCTGCGCTGCGAATCCCGCGGAAGCTGGCCCAGGATCGGCCGGCTTCGGGATGGTTTGAAACAGGATGAAACAGGCGGAGGAGGGAAGCAAAGGCTACGTAGTCAAACAACACATGAGCGACCAGCAGATACGAGCTCGTGCCGATTGTAGAGTTCCCAGTAAGGATCAGCAAGGGTTAGGGTAGAATTGGTCATGTCCACATCTGAGAGATCTTATTGCTCGTATGCACAGGATCGGCCATCGAGCTCCACTACATGAAACACGGATGCTTTATGGATTGCAGCCAGCTGCTCGAGGACTGCTGGCGCATTGCGCATCTTCCCTGTGCGATCATCCACGGCCAGAACGATGTGCTCTGTACGCCTTCCAATGCATGGACGTTGCGCAAGCGGCTGCCTTTGGCATCCTTCTTGATGGTTCCAATGGCTGGCCATTCATCCTCGATGGCCCCACAGCTGCGTTCTGCTGTCATTGATGCCATAGATTCCTTTCGTTGACGGACGCACCGCACATGGATTTCGATGTGAAAAGCACGGGGCCTCTCCAGACACAGCTGCTTGTCGGTCTCGCTTACTGACCCCAGCTATCTCAGCTTGTCGAGGCTCCCAAATACCACAACTTGTGCCCCGCGTGTTAAAGCCAACTCATGGGCAGGTCTCCTCTCCATGGCTTCCATGGCCAGCGTCCTCGACTCCACAACCTGGCGGAGCGGGAGATAGAGATGCCAGCATGAAAGCATGGCGTTAAAAGCTCATGTCTTAGTATTGGTATTATCAAGGTTTGTACTATTGTGAGTATTCTTCTTCGTATTGTTTAGCATATTGTGCAAGAG